GAAGAAGATGGCTTAGTGACATCATCTCGGTCTGAAACTTGATGATCGGCAAATCCTTTTATGCCAGTCTGTATGACATGAAACCCACAGACACCGTGTTCTCCCGATAATTCCTGACCTCCTATCACAGAGGTCCTACGCAACAGCATGCAGGAGACACTGGACCAGCTATTATCTCTGGATGAGCTGACCAAGGCCCTTGAGTCCTTAAAAAAGAATAAAACTTCCGGAAGCAATGATTTGCCAGCTGCGTTGTATTCGGCTCTGTGGGACTTAATTGGCCAGGACTTGCTGGAGGTGTATGACTGTATATTTCTGTCAGGTAGCATGTGCAAATCCATGAGGAAAGGTACCATCAGCCTCATCTACAAGTGGAAGAATAGAGCGAGCAAATTAGAAATTGGTGACCAATTTCACTGCTGAATGCAGACTACAAAATACTGTCCAAGGTCATTACCAACCGGATCAGGTCTGCGATCGGATCAGTGATTCACCTTGACCTGCTGTACTGGGGAGAATGATCTCTGAGAGCCTCACGCTCCTCAGGGATATGATCACCTACATGTCGGACAGGGGGTGGACACCTGCCACATCAGCCTGGACCAGGAGAAGGCCTTTGACAGGATATCACACACCTACATGTGGGGCGTGATCTCCAAAATGGGCTTTGGGGAAGGAGGCAAATTAGGGCAGGACTTATATACTTTATGGTATTGCCTCATGAGTATTGCTGAAGAAAGGATACCTTGGAGTGCAGGTTCATAGTTCCTTGAAAGCGGAATTGCAGGTAGACAGGATAGCAAAGAAGTTGTTTGGTATGCTTGCCTTTATTGGTGAGTGCATTGAGTATAGGAGTTGGTAGGTCACGTCACATACAGGGCATTGGTGAGGCCACTTTTGGAATACGGTGTTCAATTCTGGTCTTCCTGCTACAGGAAAGATATTGTGAAACTTGAAAGGGTTCAGAGAAGATTAACAAGGATGCTGTCAGGGTTGGAGGGTTAGAACTATAGGGAGAGGTTGAATAGGCTGGGGCTATTTTCCCTGGTTTTGGACTCCACTACGCTGAGGAAAAGACCTTGACTATTCACCCTATCCATTCTCCTCATGACACATCATCTGCTGGAACATGCCTTTACAAAGGTAGTCTGCCATCAGATGCAATGGGTTTTGTCCAGGTTTGGCCCGAGCGGCTCCATGACACAGGACTTTGTGCTACACAGCCTATTCCCCAGGACCCACACTGAGACAAACATCAACTGTGCCTGGAGGACCATCAACTCAGTGAAAGACAACCTTTGGTCTGCCCAAAACATGTTGGTCTTCCAAAGCAAGGAGTTGATCTTGACCGAGTGTTGCAGACTGGCACATTCCAAAGAGTATGTGCCAAGGCATGCACTAAAGCTGAGACAGCTGACAACAAGGTGCAGTGGGGAAAGCCCACTGATAAGGTCTTACTGCTGAAGTTTAATGGGAATCCATTCCCTCAAATATATGTAAATATAGTCTTGTATAAGGAGGAAATGCCTTTGGTTTGTTTGCTGAATAGTCAA